TTCCTCCTCTTCTGAGCTATCACCATCTCCATTTTCTTCAGATGAGTCACTGTTCTAAAAAAAGTACACGTGAATTCATACACATGTGATTATATATGTAGATTTACATGTATTTGTTTAGAACAGTTCTCATGAAATGTGAAAAAGATAGGAGGAGATTGGGGACAAATAAAATGAGGTTAGAGAGGAAAAGGTATTTTACAATGATCAAGATGTGTATGAGATATTCCATTTTTACCCTCAAAGCAGAGACAACCTGTTAAAAACACTTTGTACGTAAAAACTAGAGCAATGAATCACAAAATTGCTTAGCTCTAAGAGACCAAGAGGATTATCTGGTCCAATTTCTTTTTTTTTACAAAGAAGGAATCTGAAGCCCAGAATGGTCGTGACATCAACCAGTTCAAGGCAAATCTTGGACTAGGTGTAGATCACATTATTTTCTTTATAAATAAATAAATTATGAATAAAGTGATGATTAGGTTTATTATGCTAGTAAAATGATTCTCTTAAGTAATTCATTTTCCTGGTGAGTTTAAATTAGAATTTGACTTGAAATTAAATTTGCATATAATTTTTATTATCTTTCTATATAAAACTAATATCTAAAATTGTAATATGTATTAGTATACAGGGATGGGCAAAAGTAGGTTTATAGTTGCAATATAAAAATAATATAATAATAAATAAATAATAATATAAAAATAATCTCTCTTTCATACTCACAGCTGTAAACCTATTTTGGCCACCCTGTATATTGAAAGTTATGTAAGAGAAAAATTAATTCATTTACAAGATTTTAGAGTACCATCCCTCTACAGAGCTCAATATTGAATGAGAATAAATTGAACCAAGGAACCTGATATACAAATATAATTATAAATTAATGAGCTTTGCTACTTTTTAAAGGAAAATGCAAATCTAAACTTTTGCTTTCAGAGCCTTAAAGACAGTTGAGGAGATTCTTCATCTTTCTCCCAGTTTTAATCTAATTGAAGTTTCCTTCTTTCTGTGCCATAACTTTTAATGGCAGCAGGTATATAAATGGATACCCAACTTAAGATTCTGTCATTTTCTACTTTGCAAACGTTAATCTGGATTCTGACTCAGTTAAACTTCATGGGCCTTAGACAATATAGCTGCAGAAGAACCTCCAGGTATAGAAATTGGATTTTAGGAAACAGTCCGGATCCAATCCTACTCAGGGCCATCCTACCTGGCTTATTCCTCAGGTGGCCACACCTTCCACCCAAGGAAAGGGAATGCTTGTCCCCTTGAGCCAAGAATAACCTTGGGTGGAAAAGAGAATACTTAGACCTGCTCTTCCACTGCCATGACCTCAATGGTTGTTCTTTTCCCAGCCCAGAGAGTAAATAAAGAAAGATATTATATTTGAACTACTTTTATTTGTTAGTTAAATTATATAGAGAGGACAGCATATTTTGCTTCAGTGGGAGTGTTTCATCATTTTCCAAACTTTCTCATGTCTAGCTTTATTCCTAGCCCAAACACATCCTCTTCAATTAATATCTACAGTGAGAACAATTGTAAAACTGAATGTAATGCCTTGAAGCCTGGGCTTTTCCTTCATTTCCTATCTTTCATTTATTCCTATTATAATTTGTCGCTAAATCCTATGGACTTTCCAAAAGTATATATATATATATTTTAACCATTACTCCTTCTAACTTCTGTCACTCCACCTATTCAATTCCCAAGTATACATTCCAGGCATTGTACTGAGAATGAGGATCATAACAAGAGATGAGGTTGGAAATATGGACAGTTTCTCTGTATTGAGCACTGGGATAGCTGAGATGAGTTCAATATCCTATATAATAAAAGCCTAATATGCTGTGTCTAGTTATCCAGTCATCCATTCAACCAATCAAAACATAATATGCTAATGCTATGCTAAGGCCGCTCAACCACTCACTATGATGTTCACTGACCACCAAGGGGCAGACTCTCTAACTGGTAGGTTAGCTTGCTGCTGGGGTCTGGCCAATCAGGACTGAGCAAAACAGGCCAGACATGCCATGGAGCCCTCCTGCAATCCCTCCCCAGTTGGCCAACCTCCCACATCCCTTCCTGACCCCAGCCGTGCACCAGTGGGGTCCCTCGGCCTAGCCTGTGTCCTCTCGAAATCTGGGACCCCTCAGGGGATGTCAGAAAGCTGATTTCAGCCCAATCCCGCATGCCAGGCCGAGGGACCCCACTGGTACACAAATTCATGCACCAGGCCTCTAGTGCGAAGTGAGACGGGCAGAACACTCCCTGGAGCCCTCCTGCAGTCCCTCCCCAGCTGGCCAACCCCCCAAGTCCCTCCCCAGCCCTGATTATATTCCCGTGGGGTTCCTCGGCCTGGGCTGTGACCTCTCGCAATCTGGGACCCTTCAGGGGCCCCGTGTCCCTCCCTGGCCCTGATTATACTCCCGTGGGGTCCCTCGGCCTGGGCTGTGACCTCTCGCAATCCGGGACCCCTCAGGGGATGTCGGAGAGCCAATTTTGGCCTGATCTTGCTCAACGCAGGAGCTGCCCTCTGGTGGTCAGTGTGCTCCCACAGGGGGGGTGCTGCTAAGCCAGAAGCCGGGCTCATGGCTGGTGACTGCAGCAGCAGTGGCAGGAGCCTCTCCTGCCTCTGCGGCAGAGCTAAGGATGTCCAACTGTCAGTCGGACATCCCCTGAGGGCTCCTGGACTGTGAGAGGGTGCAGGCCTAGCTGAGGGACCCCTTGCCCCGAGTGCACAAATTTCGTGCACTGAGCCCCTAATGAGAAATATAAGATAATGTTCTTGCCCTCAAAGAGTTCACATACTAATCAATTATCAATTGAATCATAAAAATCATAAAAAAGCAATTTCTTCAATTAAAAATGCTTAAGATGTGACCTTATTTATACTTTCATGTCTATAGCACACCAATAGGTAAGTTATGGTAGACTGTTAATAGCTTTGCAATCACTATAGCATGTTTCATACAAGTTGGTATTTTAGAAATAATTATATATAAGTAGATTTGTTCAAATAAAACACAAATTTCAAAGTCAATACAGCTAAATCCATTGTGGAGTGACAATCTGAGCAATAAGTAATAGACTTAAGAGAATAAATAATAAAGAGCAATGAAAAATATACAAGTAGACATAAGAAAAAAGTCTTGAAAGTCAAACTGCAAAATAGAAAAGTATATCATAAATACTATGTAAGAGTGTTAAATGGGGAGATATATTTTATTGGATTCTTTTTTTAAAAAAACACCTATCTTACTTTCATATTCTTAATTAGTTGAGATGGACCAATTTGCAGATAATTTGTGGAAATTTTGTATATTAACGATATACTTAGAGTCTGTCAGTGGAAAATAAAACTTTCCCTAATATCATTTCAGTATAAATATTTTAATTGGAACACAAATATAAA